TCGTTCAAGGTAAGGTTGCCTTACGAGAGGACCTATATCCTCTATTTCCCTTCCATAATCTACAAGTCTAAAGTCTGATCCACAACTATCAATCTGAAGAAAAGGGTCATCGAGCAATTCCCTTGCCGAGAGCCTAAGGGACACGGTTGCCAAGCATTTCTCTACGAACTGCCTAACTTCGGGATCTTTCACTTTGTACAAAGCATCCGGTTTTCTACCCTGAAGTGATTAAGCATGTAAAATGAAATTTTGGTCTTTTCGCGAAAAGGGATTAAACCGAAAAGCACAATCATCTAAGAGAAACATCTTACAGATATAACTTTCTTGTAGATTTGAGCAGGATGAGTACATTCACTATACGGATATTCAAAGGTCACCATTTCCAAAATGCACATCCCAAATGAATAAATGTCAACTAATTCATTATATGCCTCCTCATAAACTTCTGGAGCCATGAATTCTGGTGTCCCTGGACAAAGAACAATACAGAAATGAGACACAAACTTAAATCTACTATATCTGATTCATCTTTCATCAAATCAATCTACCAACCAAAACCCACCTCCTAATTCTCACCTTTCAAATTGGGTATGCCATCATATGGTAAAATATTCACAAGATAAGATGAATCAAGCAACTATCTTCTTCTACTTAAGTGATCAATACTAGAAGATTTCAGTGGGATTATACCTACCAACACAATGAGCAGCATGGGATTTTCGGAGGATTGCAGCAAGGCCAAGATCGCCAATCTTCACCTCTCCTTGGTTGCCATTGACAAAAATATTGTCACATTTAAGATCTCTATGAATCACAGGAGGATCATGACTATGAAGATAAAGTAGTCCTCTCAAGATCTGCCTGCACCAATGCTTAATTGCTCTAATGTTGACTCTCTTGTGCTTTAGCCTATACCTATAGAAGGCACATATATATGGGTCAATAAGGATGTAAGTAAAGAAAAACTAGATATAAAGCATGATAAAAATGGGGATTCGATTTTGTTTCAAAATTTCTTACTGTCTCAAAGTCCCAGAAGTGAACATTTCTGTCACAAAGTTGATATTCCTATTTGCGGTATCAACCCAGGAAGTATAAAACTTCATAATGTTCTTATGCTTCAATGTCTTGAGGAGATGGATCTCACAGTAGAGCCTTTCAAGATCTTCAGGGCTCTGTAAGAAATCATAAAGCTTTACCTGATTCCAAGCAACTTCGATGCCTTCATACTCGTCAAATGCTCTATAACTGCAATCAAAAAATCAGAATCCAGAAACAAAAAATCAATAATTCACAAATTACCCGTCCACCCAGTATCCAAAACTCATTGAAAATCACAAGAGAGACGAATTTTTTTCAAAAAGCTGAAATGGGTGTCTGCAAAAATTCAAGCTTTTTCTATAAAGGGGGAAAGCGAAAAGGACTGCACAAATCTGAAATGACATGAATTGGGACTTGCGGGATTCAGATTCCTACACTGTCTTTGAAGCTCCTTTGCCGAGAATTTCATTGTACTG